AGGAACCTCTGGATTATTTTAGAAGCACAGTGTTAACGTTTCAGGCTGGTACTTCCTTTCCGTTGCTAGGCACTGACGCCGTCCTTCCCCACAGAGGCTGTAAAGCGCTGCGTCCGCCGCTGCTGCTTGCAGTGGGGTGTGCCACACATGGTCGGCTTTGCTCCTGGGGGATGATGGGGTTGATGATACTCCCCTGGCAAGCCTTTCACCGCAGAGATTCAGCTCAGGTTGTATTTCTAAGCAGACTGAGAAAAGCCATTAGCTTTTCTTAACTTTTAATTCAGGATCCAAATATCTTTTTTTTTTAAGATTTTATTCATTTATTTGACAGAGAACACAAGCAGGGGGAGCAGCAGGCAGAGGGAGAGGGAGAAGCGGGCTCCCCGCAGAGCAGGGAGCCCAACGCAGGGCTCCATCCCAGGATTCTGGGACCACGACCGGAGCCCAGGGCAGACGCTTAACCGACTGAGCCACCCAGGTGCCGCAGGATCCTTCTGATTGATTAATTAATATTACGCCCTTTTCTTTTTCAAGCTGACCCCTGAATAGCTTAGCAGAGGCCTTCCATCTTCTCTACTTTGTTGCCAGAGAATTTTCCTCCCTTTTCAGCCTCGCTGTGATCTGTGCAAACAACTGGCTGAAGGAGAGCTTGGCGGGGGGGTGTTAATTTGTGTCTGGGTTTTAAATTCTGGAAATGAGGGGATTGCTTTTTCTAGAAAAGGCATGTGTTTGTATGTTCTGTCTGTGAGATAATGCCTAACTTTTTATTAAAAGAAGCTGAGAGGTTATAGAAAACAAAAGTTTGATCACAATCCTAGAATTCTCAAAGCCATGTCCTTTTCCATACAGCTTTATTGAAGAGATGAAGTAGATCTGATTTAGTGGGAAAGAATAATGTCACTCTGCTTCGTTATCAGGATTAATAATTAGGTTGTATCTTTCACTGGTATTGAACAGAGAAGGCAAATTTAAATAAGTATATGATTCTGCTTATTGAGTTTTTAAAAATAAGAGTAAAACTGTAAAATAATTTACCTCGGAGAACCGGAGTCTGCGAGTTATACTGACAGCAAGACATATTTTGTTAGGGATGGGCAAGAAACTAAAAGGTGTTAAAAAGCTCTCTTTTAAATGAGGAAATATATTTTTAAAATTTTTTTTAATTGTAGTTGATGTACAATGTTACATTAGTTTCAGGTGTACAACATAGTGATTCATCATCTCTATAGGTTATGCTATGCTCATCACAAGTGTAGCTACCATCTGTCACCATACATTATTATAGTATGGTTGACTATATTCCTATATTGTGCCTTTTAGTCCTGTGACTTACTCATTCTGTAACTGGAAGCATGTATCTTCTACTCCTCTTCATCCATTTTGCCCATGCCCCAACCCCTTTCGCTCTGGCAACCATCAGTTCTCTGTATTTATAGGTCAGATTCTGCTTTATGTTTGTTTCTTCATTTGTTTTGTTTTTAGGTATTTGTCTTTCTCAGTCTGACTTACTTCCTTTAGCATAATACCCTCTAGATCCACATATGTGGTTACAAATGGCAGGATCTCATCTTTTTTTTTTTACTGAGTAATATTTCATTGTATTATGTGTACGTATATATACTACATCTTTTTAAGATTTTATTTATTTGAGAGAGAGAGAGCACGAGCAGGGGGAGGGGCAGAGGGGTAAGCAGACTCCCCACTGAGCAGGGAGCCTAAGGTGGGACTCGATCCGGGACTCTGGGATCATGACCTGAGCAGAAGGCAGATGCTTAACTGACTGAGCCACCCGGGTGCCCTATATACCACATGTTCTTTATATATTCATCTGTTGACAGACACTTGGGTTGTTTCCATATCTTGGTTATTGTAAATAATGCTGTAATAAATAGGGATGCTTATATCTTTTCAAATTACTGTTTTTATATTCTTTGGGTGCTTAATAGAATTATTGGATCATATGGTGTTTCTGTTTTTAATTTTTTGAGGAACCTCTATACTTTTTTTTCCCACAGTGGCTGTACCAATTTCTGTTCCCACCAACAGTGTATGAGGGTTCCTTTTTCTCCACATCCTCGCCAACACTTGTTAGTAAATGAAGAAATTTAGATAGGAGTCTGTGTGTGTTTGTGTGTGTGTGTGTGTAAATGTTTATGTTTTAAGAAGTATCCATTGAATTGTTGGAGAATTACCCTTGTCTCTCAAGACTTATCTGTGTAATTTAGAGCTGGTGTGAGTCAAATATAGAATATAGGTACAGGCAGTATCATAATTAGGAATACTAGTTTTGGACTTCTTTTAGCCAGGTACTTGCCCCCTTCCCTGTTAAGCTCTCTAATGACAGGATACTCAGACCTCGGGGCTTATGAGGGTTCAGGTCCTGCCGATAATTCTGTGTGTTCAGTTGGCTTTTTCTGGCATTTAGGGAGAGTCAATATCAGGTAAAATAGTGTTTCTTTGAGTAAATGCAATCTGAATTCTTAATAGATGACTTGGAAGTGATCTTGTGGAACATGTTTTCTTGATTTGGGAATTACCTATGCTGAATTGCATTTTAATAATGGGCCTCCAAGGGTGCCTGGGTGGCTCAGTCGGTTGAGCGACTGCCTTCGGCTCAGGTCATGATCCTGGAGTCCCGGGATCGAGTCCCGCATCGGGCTCCCTGCTCGGCGGGGAGT